ATAGGAGATAGAAGAATGATAACACTACTTCTAGAGGGGCATTATTACAGGTATTAAGGTAAGACACAGGTGCTGAGTCGCAGATGTATGAGACTGACTGTCAGAGAGGCAGCTTTGCAGCATTTGACCAAGAAGAAACTATAGAAAGAAAAAGTTTCCCATCATAGATCTATGGACTGAGCTGGACTAAAGTGAGCAGAACTACACAGTAGAAATAAATGGGTCAAGGCACCCGAACAAGGTACCAGACATCTATGTAATGTTTACTCTGAACACACATTTACCACATTTGTTCCTCAGTAACTCGACATACAGCAGTTAAGGCAACATGAAAGGGACATTTCATGCATGTAGATCTGCTGTAGATAGATCTGCTGTATCAACAAATCAACATAAAGGCAGGTACTGGATGTTACATCAAAATCTCCACACATCTGAAAAGAAGCAACATGAAAATAAAATTTGCTTCCAGTCTGAAAAAGTAAAAAACATTTAGTGAGTAGGTTCATACGGGTCATTTCTGGATAGTTTCATACTATATATACAAAAAAAGAAACAACAACACTGCTTCATATTTAGCAGGATTCACACCAGTATCACATTTTTAAATTTAATTTTAACCCTTTTGGTTTTATTAAAGGAAATATCAGATTTTCTCAGGTGCAAAACAAAATGTAATATCTCTGTAAAGGTTCACCAGAGAGCAGAACATAAAGTTAACATGACTATAACAGCTGAATGCAGCGATTTCCATGTTGCTCAGCAAAACGCTTCACTAATGTATCTAGATCCAATGTCTTTGTGTGTTTTGATTCAATGCTGAGTTCAACCAAACTTGATCGTCTCTTTTCTGTCATAGTTGTCCGTTAATACGTCTTTATGAGCCTGAGACGTCAGGCCTAACTAACATCATAGATAGAGAAATAACGTTCTGCAACCTGATTTTTATCATCTGTAAATCAGCATTGCAGCTATGCTAGCAACATTGTGCTTTCATTATGATTTCATTTCTCGATAGATAGTTAATCAGTGTTTACCTGTTTCATCCTGTGTCTCCTCTCCCCATCACCCCTGGCTCCCTCGCTTTGCTCCACCCGGTTTTCAAAACTAATCAGTCTCAGTCGCTCTCTGTCATCTCGTGCTGCATTCACTGCAGTCCGACATTGGAAATTAGCGGTCGCAATTCTCAAATTATCCATAATTTATAAGCCTCGCCACCCCTACTGGGGTAGCAAGGCTGTCATTTAGGGTGGCATTAGCCACCCTATGCCACCCCAGTAGATCCGCCTATGCATGGAATCTGTTCTGATTTCTCCCCAGAGGAGCA